GTTTCTAAATAAACTAATAACGCTGAAGGATAAATTATAAAACGTTGCTGAACGCTGCATCGCAGCACATAGTGAGAGGCCGGGGAGATCGAGTGGATCAGACGTTGAGGGAGCACTTTACATTTTTTAAAGGGCACACTTGGAATTGGCAGATGGCGAGTTTTCCGCGAATCTAAATCCTTGTAAATGCCCATTTTGTAAATCGTGTAAATAATACCGTTGGTTAACACGTAATTATCTATAGTCGTTTGAATAATACACAAGTAGCTAAGGATCGATCATCATCAGCCGTTTCCATCTCTCACGGTCCTGGAATGCAAGAATCCATCCGGCGCCTGACAAAGAAGATCTCACCGCTACCATCTCAACGCGCGCCCTCCCTATGGGCGCTGTAACAGGGCGGGGCCCCCACCCGGGGCCCCCACCCGGGGCCCCCACCCGTTACGTGCTACCGGCATAACTGGTTATATTGCCAGCAAAGCGAGAGGCTTCGGATATTGTTAACGCTCAACATTGAGTGGTATTGACTTGTTTGGAACCAGGTGCATACAATTGTGATGGGGGTTGGGGGGGTGGTGACGGGGGGGAGGGTGATGGCTAAGTGATAACAATGCTCACCTGTTTGGTGAAATCGGGCATTTTCGTTACGCAGGGTGTGCCCTGGTTAATTAGCTCAGCTGCTGTATAAAGGGGCTGTAGGAGAAAGGCGGGAGGCCTCGATCGGCGTGGCGGTGTTGCCGACGGTGATGGCGGTGCGAGCCTGTGAGTTATGGAAACGATGGCGCAAAATTCCCCACCCTGGTTTGTAGTTAATTCGTTGGAGTTAGAAGAATGGTTTTGCAGACCCGTTGCCCCCCCCCCCCACCCCCTGCTGCTTTGTGCAGTTCTTGCTCTCCAGCCAAAGATCTCTTCTAGTGGGAGAGATGATGGCAGCTATTCTGCTTAATCTCGCTTTTTTATCAACTATCTGCGAAGGATTGTTCAAAATGTTGTGCCGTCTTTCTGGATTCGATGCAATAACCCAATGCACGTACACGTGGTGGCTTCACCGCCACAAAATATAATGTCCATTCGGACTTCTTTTTGCTGCCTCCCGTGAACGATTCCTCGGCACGAGATTAATAGGACGATTGGGCATCCATTACTGCGGTTGTGGATGTTTGTGCCGCTGTTGTCTGTTCCGAAAGTGGGGTGATGTGGAAAAGGAATTTAATTCGGTTGGCCTATAATCGAACAATGAAGCCGGGCAAAAACTAAATACTAGTGGACTTGCCGGCTTATTTAAATGTCTGCACTTGGGTGTCGTTTTCTTTGTTTCTGCAGTCGAAAGGCCCCTTTTGATGAGAGGAAAAACAACGCCACACGCTGCGGTCTTTATTTCCATAGCGGGAGGTCATTCGGGCCCCCAGTAGGGCCGGAGTCCCTTGTCACATGGCGGGGGGGGGGCACCTGTACAGCACTGGGAGGACCCCCCTCCCCTACCCCCCTGGATTGTTGCTAATTGGGGAGGTGCGGAGGTGTGAGCTCAATAGGTGGTCAAAGAACGGGGATGGGCCGCCTGCTGCAATCGAGAGTAGCCCTTTAACCAAGGCCGTAGCCATGGAGTCAACAATGGGGGGGACCAAATCTGCTTGGGCCCCCCCCCCCCCCCAGAAAAAAAATCAAAATTTGAAAACGAATTTCCTGCCTAAAATATAAAAAAATCATTAACACATGACATTGACTTTTATTTTTACAATGTCTAATAGTGTATTGTATTACATTGCTCTTTTTTTACCTTGTTTCATTATGTAATGTGTGGTTACTGTTAGTAGCCTTAACCGTCTCGCCGTCACCAACTAGCTAACCAGCCGTAACTAACCTTCCTTTCTAGCGCTAACCAAGTACCGTACCCAGTAGATGCGCAAACGCTGAGCCACCATGCGCTTGGACCGACGTTCCATGTGCAGTATAAACTAGCCAACTCGGCAACCAGTCGCTAGTAACTAGCCCTCCCCTCGCTAACTAGCCAGCGAGTTAAACCAAGCCACGAGCGGTAGAAAGCAGGGCCTGGTGTGCGTGTTATCAAAGTGTGCTTGTGTAAGCTTCACCCGCCCCACCCCCGTGGTGTAATGCGAATGACGCGGTCGTTTTGGCAGCTATGTTCATAATCCAGCGTCTACCGCTTTCTGATATTGTAAACGGTTTGTGCGCGCGAAAAAAGTCTCTTGATTTTGGCGGTGGGAGATCATTGGGGCGTGGTTTAAAATAAAAGTACCCATTATTGAAAAAGACGACGTGCAAAACGTCCTGCAAACAGCTGCCGCATGGCCAGCGACAAATACGCAGCCTCGGCTGGAGCCCCGGAGTGCCGCGCCCACGTGGCCAACAGCTGATCGCTCCGCCACGTGCTACACGTGGCGGTGCCTGCGCTTGCTCGTGAGTCACCACAGTTTGGGCGGCGGGGGGTGGCAGTGGGGGTGCTCACGATTCCCCGCTGGTGGCCGGTAAACTCCGCGTAGTTGCGCGCATCGGAATCGATTCAACATTTCTTTGCCGTGAAGCGGCTTTGTTGTGTGTGCGTGTCCCGTGCCGTGCCGTGCGACGAACTTTCGCGCATCGTAACGTGGCCAGTCGTGCTAATCGGAAGGTGCGGGGGAAGGACAACGTTAAACACAAACAGCCGTTGCGGAGGAAATGAGTTTTTTTTTCCAGTCGATATTTAGAAGTGCGTAATGCCGGTTGCTTCCTAATCGGAAGGCTTAATGCGTGCAAAATGCTGCGTGTGGGTTTGCGGCTGAGTTGCAACTCGTTGAAATTAAACGACCATCGGGCGTGGTCAATCCGCTGCTGGATGGGAGGCCACCAAACATCGTCGCGATCCCGTGATGTAATGAAGAGTTGCCGCATGCGCACGTCCCGTGGGATTCGTTTCCATTCCTAATTGGGCGCGACCATTATGTTATCCTCGCCGGGCATGGGGTCGGTCCACTGCTGGATGAAAGCCCTCTCCCAAGCCGTCGCTATGTCACGATCTTGAGATGTGTAATGACCAAACTAGTTGATGCACTCGCCTTCCGCCGCCTCGGTGGTGGGTCACGGGAACGTTCGGTGCAAGGCCGTAGCCATGGAGTTGGCATTTATGGGGACCAAATCTTCCAGGGGGTCTGGGGGTCCTCCCCAGAAAAAATATAATACATTTGAAAATAATTTCCTCCCTAAAATATTTTAAAATTTCACTAACACATAGGATGGCCTTTTTTTACAATGTCTAAGTGTATTGTATTTATTACATTGCTCTGTTTTTTCTTTTTATCTTTTATTGTTCATTGTATGTTATATTTTAATTACGGCCTTGGTGCAATGGCTTGGCAACCCCCGTCATTGTGTCTTGGCCACCAGCTGTCCTCGCCAGTCTCCACCTCCCCCCCCCCTGTTTATCTCTGGTTTGATGTCTTGATTTAAAGCTTTCGTGACTGCAGTAATTCATATTCTTAGTTCTTTCGGTGAAGTCACGTAGAAGGGTAACAACAAAATAATAAAATATATATAAAGCAATAAAAATTCTCACGACGTTTTGTTGTTTCCCTTCAACGTGACTTTACCGAAAGAACTAAGAATATGGTTTGATGTCGTTAACCTGCGGTTATACGTTTGTGTTGCACACTCCACGTTTGTTCAATCCACGTTGCTCCGTGTCTCTCCGATGCTTTGGGCAACTTTTCAGTGTTGTACACTGTTGTGATTTTATTTTTCTGGGTGTCTTTCCGACCGATGTCTCTCCAATTGTCTAGCGGATTCCGTTGTGACATGAGCACTGTTTTGCTCAGTTTATCCTGTGCCCTAACGTTTGCAGCCACTGAAACAAGTTTCTGCTTGAAATATGAATCTATATTTATACTAGAGGAATCCTAATAACTTTTCAAGCCGGTCACTCCCACTGGACATTATGATGAAGTCGGTCTTCTGAAAATCTTGAAAATAATTCCCATTTTGTTTTGTAACTTTTTCTGCAATCGGCGGTGTTTGAGCATGGTCAAACTTCTTCGGCGATGCAGCGTTCAGCAACGTTTAATTTTACCTTGAGCGATATCATTAGTTTATTTAGAAACGTGCTTTTATTTAATTGGTGTGGCGTTCAATAGCTGCTCTTGGGTAACTATACATGTTAATCAAAAACAAATATTTATCGGGCCCCAAGGTGTAAAGTGCACACAAACTAATCGTATTCGCTCTAACCTCTGGCCTCTTACGTGCCATGAAGGGCCATTGTCCGAAACGTCGCCTATTATATTCGGAATCAGAACCTTTAACTCGACGAAACCTGCTGAGGTTTTATCCCACGGTGTAAACTGGTTTCCTGCTCCAAATGCGCATTGAGGCAGTGCTCATCTCCAACTTTTGCAGCCCTTTGCCCAGTGGTGACAATTCCACATTCATATGGCGGGGCCCCGTACGAACAACCGAAACGGTTGACGTATTGTCGAACGATTCGATGCGCGCGTGTTTGTGTGCGCGCGAGAATCGGTTAGTCGGTGCATACTTTAAATGGCCAAGTAACAGTAATCCGTCCCCCCCCGACCGCCGTGGAGACGGAGCAAAACGAATCCGTCTGTGCAGAAGAGACGGAGGGGAGGTAACGCTGGGGAGCGGCGTGGGTCAGGTCTTCAGCCAGCAGTGGACAGACCATAGCCGATGATGAATGAGGATGTGAAACCGAAGAATTGGATATGACCACATGGCGATTCAATTCCACGTCTTAGAATCGATTCCGATACGTCGATTTCTATTTCGTACGCGTTTCGCTTGCGACGTCTCCGGGTCCTGCATCCTCGCCGTCGAGTTCCGCCGCCTGCTCGGCGGCCATCTCGTGCCTTCCATCCACCTCGATAAATGACCTCGTTGATCATTCATTACGGGCGAATCGAGTCTCTGCGTCCAATTGGAAATCGATCCAGACGGGAGCAATTTGAAGCGGGGTTGGGGAGTGTGCGTGGGGGGGGTGGGGGTGGTGGGGGGGGGGGGCGGGGGGGGGGTCTTGCGGCAGATGACGTCATTAGCCCGACCCCCCCCCCCCACCGGAGCTTATATAATCACGTGACACGCCGACCGCCTCCCTCTTTCGCTTGTGGCATCCTTAGGTGGGTTTCGTCTCGACGCGGCCCTCCATCGCTTTTGCCGGCTTCTCGCGTGGGGTAACACAAAGAAATCCGTTTAAGATCTCGCACTTTCTTTGGCCATCCGTCTGAGAAATTGTGTTACTTTGACGCGGGTGATGTTGTGGTGTCGCGCCGCGGTGTTAGTTCGCGATATTTTTCGACGCTTGGGTGGGTTATTTGTGTCGCGGTTTTGAGTGGTTCGGGTTTTGTGTGGCGAGGCCGGGATACACTTGGAAAGTCTTTATAGGCCTACACCGGTCGTGGTTGGCTACAGAGCGATATATAGTTCCTTTTTATTCGTTTGGTGTTCTCCCGCCTGCACCATCGTGCTGTAAAGGCGAGTGGTTTAAACTACTTTTGGATTTTTTAAAATATTTTCACGGTTTTTTATTTGGTTACAAAGCAAGGCCTGGCAAAGATGCCGGCGCGCTCAGCCGGTCAATGACGCAATCCCGCGTGTCGTTTGTCTAACTTTTAATCGATTATCTTTGTAAATTGCTGCTTTCAGGTCGGTATATAATTCAATCGTTTCGTATGCCCCCTTTATAATTTAACAAAAGCGGAGACCGTTGGGGGGGGGGGGGCGGGTGGTGGTTGAGGGGTTGGGAGAAAGGAGCCGGGTGGGTGGAAGGCGCCTTCCACGCTGTGGCCGGGGCCTTACCGAGCAGGAGACGACGAGAAAAACGATGGTTGGGGGGGAGGGGAGCCTCCCCCGGTTTATCGTCGTGGGGGGAGGCCCCCCACTGTCTCGGGGGGACTCTTGGCAATGCTAGGAGGGGGCGGTGTGGGGGGTGTCGGGGCGGGGATGGAGGCTCCACGTAGCGGCGCCATTTTGTCGCGGTGTAACATGGCGGCCCGGCTCCTGTACACCCCCGCCCCCACTGCTCTCTCGCTCCTCTCGTCTGCTTTTACGGCTCCCTTTATTTGGTTTACTCTGCCTCCTTAGACTCTGCTGCGGCTACCAACCTCCCACCCCCCCCCCCCGGCTGGCGTCTTTACTAATCTCTTGGTTGTTGGTTGTCACGTCTTTGGCTGCTTCGCACGACTCCCTCGTGATCCTGCTCTGCTTCGCCCCCCTCCTCTGCTCGTTACTAGTTCCCCCTTTGCCTCTTGAACGCTCTCTCGTGACTAATTTGCCAGACATCTTTACAGACCCCCCCACCCTGCCGGCTCCATATGGCTCACACGGCGTGATCTTGCCGCTCTCATCCGTATGGCTGCGTCCTCCCCCCCCCCCCTAATTTAGCCAAGATACCTTGCCAAGTCTAGGAGACAATATTGTAGAAAGTTATTTTTACAAGTTTTTGTAGTTTGTGGACGAGGAGGGGGCACGATTGCTTGCGTATATTATCGATTGAATACTTTGGCGAGTTGTTTTTCGATGATACCAGCACTAACTACGTTTGCGAATTACAAGCCCCTTATCGCTCATGGCGTCTCCTTTTCTGCCTCTTGCTCCCCCCTCATTGCTCCCTCGTTTTAATTTAGGTCTCCTGTCGAGGTACTGCTGGTTCTTAACGATCATTTACGTCTTTTAACTCCCTCCTGGTTCTCCCCCGCAGCCACTCCTCGCGTTGGCTTTTTCCCTAGCTTCCCCCCATAGCGCACCACTACCCTAATTTCTTCACGATGCTACATTGGCCCTGCCTATGGCTTTCCTAGCCGCTGCTCTTGCTCCAGGGCTTAATCTCTCCTTTTTCCCAGCCTTTTAATCTTATTACCACAGTCTCCAGCTTTTTTTCTCAAAAACTTGTCTACCCGTAATTGCTAACGTGCGGAATATGGCTGACAATACAAAGCGTGCCTTTTTACGAGAGCCAGTGTTGAAACCATTGCATGTTTGTAGTTGCAGTGTTTGGAATGGTTGTGAAAAGGGTTTGGGTGCTTGTTGCTGGCGTTTCACTTCAGTCAGTGAAAATCTAACATTTAATCCAACTTGCTAATGGCTGCATGTTCTCTGACCCTTTTATAAGGACATTTTTGGCTGACGTGCTTTTTCCCTTTTGTCATCAACAGCGTTCACATTTGCTGACGGCCTAGGCAACCACCTCCATCCATCATGGGCAAGGAAAAGACTCACATTAACATCGTCGTCATTGGCCATGTCGACTCTGGGAAATCCACCAGTACCGGCCATCTCATCTACAAGTGTGGCGGCATTGACAAGCGTACCATTGAGAAGTTCGAGAAGGAGGCCGCTGAGGTACGTGACCTGTGCCCCCTGCTCAGTAGTTGTATGCACACACATGTACTCGACCAGTCTTAAAATATTTTGTAGGGGTGCTGTTGTGTAATGTTTAGCACACGACTTGCAATCCATGTTGCCGATTCGGTTATCTCCTGGCTTCAGTTTCAACTTTGGCCATGTTTTTAACTACCACCTGTTTCAACTAATTGGTACACCACATCGGCAGGTCAATTGCGTGGTTGCATAAAGTGGGTCCTCCCCATCTGCTCCAAGATACCTGATTAGTGTGGAAGAGCTGGCCAAATAAGAGGTGCGCTTGAGATTCCTCTAGTAAGGCCTTCGTCAGTGGTGTGAGCATGCGGTTTGGAGGACTTGTGCAATTTGTATTAACATGTTAAGTGTACCTCAGCATTTTTTTATGACCTTTGTTTTATAGATGGGCAAGGGCTCCTTCAAGTACGCCTGGGTGCTGGACAAGCTGAAGGCCGAGCGTGAGCGTGGTATCACCATTGACATCTCTCTGTGGAAGTTCGAGACCCAGAAGTACTACGTCACCATCATCGACGCTCCTGGCCACAGGGACTTCATCAAGAACATGATCACCGGGACATCGCAGGTAGGATTGTGACACCAGTGCACAGCCACTCATTTGCCTGAATGTTCACACTTTTTAAACCTTTAATATTCGTTTATTGATGCCCAACGGCCTAACAATCGGCAATGTGCCAGATGTCATCAGGTCTCTGAAGTTAGAGGGCAAGCTTGAGCCTGTGCTACAATGGGTGACCATGCACAGCATTGAAGGCTGTGGTTGGGTGGTGTGAGCTGCATATGGCAGTGCAGCAAAATCCATTGTACCTGATGTCCCTCTTGCCTTTAAACTGCACTGACCAGTGGTGTGTAATTGGACATGATGGTGAGGAGCCATCATCTAGTTGTGGATTGTCACACTGTTAAGCCATAAAATATTTTTGTGGAAGACTCGTAATCATATATGGGTATTGAAACAAAATATGTCTTGAAATGTAACCAAGTGTTAATGTTTACATTTTATTGTGCCCTTAATTATTTCAGGCTGACTGCGCCGTCTTGATCGTTGCGGCCGGAGTAGGTGAGTTTGAGGCCGGTATCTCGAAGAACGGCCAGACCCGTGAGCACGCCCTGCTCGCCTACACCCTGGGTGTGAAGCAGCTCATCGTCGGCATCAACAAGATGGACTCCACCGAGCCCCCCTACAGCTCCGACCGTTACAACGAGATCGTCAAGGAAGTCGGCACCTACATCAAGAAGATCGGCTACAACCCGGCCGCCGTGGGCTTTGTGCCCATCTCCGGCTGGCATGGGGACAACATGCTGGAAGCCAGCACCAACGTAATTTAATTTCTTCTGTAAATTTTCTATTTGCTTTTTGTTTTGTACAAAGGATAACTGTCCCATTTTTTTATCGTGCCAGAAGTTTTCAAGAATGTACTCTTACTGTGGTTTTTGTACACCGAAAATAGATGCCGTGGTTCAAGGGATGGAAGGTCGAGCGCAAGGATGGCAATGCTTCCGGCACCACTCTCCTGGAGGCTCTGGATGCCATCCTGCCCCCGAGCCGCCCCACCGACAAGCCCCTCCGCCTGCCCCTCCAGGATGTCTACAAAATTGGCGGTATGTTAAGGACGTTATCTCATTGCGGAGGTTGTGCCTGGGGATAATTCAATTTACTGTATTTTGAAAATGCTTAGATTCTTAATTCCTTTTTTTCCTCCCCAGGTATTGGGACAGTGCCCGTGGGTCGTGTTGAGACTGGTGTCCTGAAGCCCGGCATGGTGGTGACCTTTGCTCCCGTGAACGTCACCACTGAGGTCAAGTCTGTGGAAATGCACCACGAGGCTCTCACAGAGGCCGTTCCCGGCGACAACGTTGGCTTCAACGTCAAGAACGTGTCCGTCAAGGATGTGCGTCGAGGCAACGTTGCTGGTGACAGCAAGAACGACCCGCCCATGGAGGCTGGCGTCTTCACCGCCCAGGTAAACCACTTGTCCGTCGTCAAAGCCGAGGGTAGATGAACAAATGCGTTTTCCCTGTTGCGAACTTAAGTGAGTCTCGCTGTCAACCTCTACATTGACCCACCGGCTTTTTTTTCGTCCATACACTTTACCTCCCAGCACATCTAATTTCTTAGGAATTACTTTGGCCATTCTTGACGGGCCTTGGGCTTGCCATTAATATGCCACAACTCTTGTATGTATATAGCACTGAGTAACCAAGGGAACATTGTTATGTCGTACAATTCTGAGGCATCTTTGCCGACTCGTTAAATGTATTGAACATGTGTGGAATGTGAACGATAATGAAAATCGTATTACTGTTTTTGTGCAGGTGATTGTGCTGAACCACCCTGGCCAGATCAATGCTGGCTACTCGCCTGTGGTTGACTGCCACACTGCCCACATTGCTTGCAAGTTCGCTGAACTGAAGGAGAAGATCGACCGTCGCTCGGGCAAGAAGCTTGAGGACAACCCCAAGTTCCTGAAGTCTGGGGATGCCGCCATGGTTGACATGGTTCCTGGCAAACCCATGTGCGTGGAGAGCTTCTCCGACTACCCACCCCTGGGTAAGTAGTCTTGAGAGATGACTAGAGTTAACCCAAGTAGTTTATGAACGTACATTTTAAAAACTTAATGGATTATGCGTAACATTTCAGTGGTTGCAGCTGTAATTTCGAGGGCACATTGAATGACGATTTTTTTTGTCTTCCAGGGCGCTTTGCCGTGCGTGACATGAGGCAGACGGTGGCTGTTGGTGTCATCAAGGCCGTCGAGAAGAAGGCTGCAACAACTGGGAAAGTCACAAAGTCCGCCCAGAAGGCCACCGGCAAAGCGAAATGAATCGCCTGTCAATCCACCCAAGATGTCACCAGAAGAGGACCATCGTCTTTCATTACCTTCAGCGGACCACCATCTTTGTGCTTAATGCAAGCGCTTTTAATTTCTTTGAGTAACCTGCACAGTTTATTAGTTGCTGAAAAGATGATGTTGATCAAAATGCAGTGGAAACATCACAGAAGGAAAAGATTGTCCAGCATTTGTGACGCACATTAAAGTAATAAACATTGCAGTTGAACGTGTCTTTTGTTGCTGTGTGGTGTTAAATGTTGCCAGGAAACTGGTCGTGTAGATGGAGTCAATAAAATGTGCTCCAGTGTGATATTGCCATGTGAGAGTTAAAAACTATAGTCCATCGAACAATGGAGTGCCGATCTTTTGCATATGGTTATTAGGTCTGCCATTTTTTCAACCTTTTGTACAGGGGTTTCTTTCGGAAATTGTTACAGTAGCGCCGAGTTGGAAGTCTTTTGTTAATTGTATAGAGTACGGTTTAAGGGTTAAAACAATGGGTGGTTGTGTCAATTTAAGCAGACAAGCAGGTTGTACGGACCCTGTACTTTGAGGCCTGCATCGAATCAAGTTTTAGCGCTCTATGGCATGTACATAGACCTCATGGGAATGTAACCGAATTCGCGAGCACAAATCAGATTTGAAACACGGATCACAACGCTGTGGGTGATCACGATATATTTTTCTCCGATACCAAGGTTCTTTGCAAACCCACGGGTTTTTATCAGAGATGTGTCCGAGGCAATTCAGATTTACAGACAATTTCAACCGAGAGGATGGTTTCAAATTAAGCAATCATTGGAAAGATGTTCTAAATCAAACCAAACACTAATTTTCAATGGTACAGTATATTCAAGTAGTGGTATTCCAAACTTTCACAGCAGCTTATTTCCCTTCACACCAACATGTAAACTACCCCCCCACCGTGCCGGTCCAGTACATTTTATGCTAATCCCTTTGTCAAGGCGTTTTTTGTTTCCTCCCACAGCTTAAAGGACGCGACCTGGGCTTGCTGTCTTCACTCCGACGCTGTCCTCTGGACAGTCCAGTCCCTTCACCTGATGAAGGCCACGTGTTGTGGCCGAAACGTGATATTTTGGTATTTTATTTTTACCTACGTGACTTTACCGAATAGAACCAAAGTAAGGTTAATTTAATTTCTTGCATTTTGCAGTCCATATAGCCATAAGAGGTGCTTTTATGCGGTGGCAACCCCGAAGTGGTTGGGGTGCTTAATGCTATTCATAAACTCGCCACCGGGATGCGCTATCGGCATAGGAATCGCAATCCGCTCTGCCAGACCTGTCGAACGTGAAGAGACCATCTGCATTGGGCAAGGGATTCTATACATTACCATTCATCTAGTCGAGTAATAGTGTCCACGGCACTCCATGGATCCTAATGCAAGATTTTACATCAGTTTCCAAGGCTGCATCAAACCAAGTTGTGCACAACTTATGCCAGTCCAAATCTTCAGGTCGGTTTGCTTCTGTCCAACGTTTCCCTAATTGTCATGAACTGCGTTTGTGCTAAGACTTCAACGGTGCCGAGTTGACGTCTTGGAACTAAATTTCGTCTAAATCTTAAATGACTGCTGTGGTTTTCACACCTGATTGCTTGTTGCAATCGAAAAGTGAGAATTTTATTGTTTTCTACGTGACTACCGAAAGAACCAAGAATGAGTTGGGGAACCTCAAACATTACTGACATTGGTAAAAAAAATTCCCTTTGTTGGTTAGTCCATTCGGTGGAGTATTAACGAAGGACTTAAGTTAAACTCGACGTTCCTGTTCACCCCACCGCTCTAATAACCCATAAAGGTCGAGTGCGCATAACTTGTTAAATGTTCATCATTGATTTGCCAAGGGCATTTCGTGGTCCAATATGCCGTGGTCTTAAACCGACGAGGTGGGAGACCCGGACTTCCCCTTTTACTTTAGAAGTCGTCATTGTACAACACTTGGTACAATTGCGTGTAGAGCGTTTCCTCCATAGCTCAAGCATGTTGAGCTGCAGCAAAGTCCACAATCGACGTAGAATATCCTATTAAGCATTTTATAAACTATTGGTACGTTTGCCATTAACTGCCCCCCCCCCACCCCTGAATTTTGTATTCCCTGCTTTAAACAAGACCCTATAGGCTTTTCCAGACGGCATTTACTTGCTTTATTAAACTGCTTAAATCAATTCACTGTATCCTTGTTAAGACTTGTCTGTTTCCCCCATCTTGATATTTTATCTGCCATCCACGCTTTGCTAACCTGTGTAGAGGCGCTAACTACTCACTGTTCGGTAACCTGCATTGCCACTAGGTATCAAAGGCGCAGTGCAGCGTTACCTCTGTGTGAATAACGGTTGGGGTCAGACGAGGTGAAGTGGATCGTAGCCACAGTTTGGTAAGAACCAATCAGACAGTTCCACGTGGTATGTTGTATGGTTAGACCTGGGCACAAACGGGTATAAGAAGGGTGACCGCGCAGAGCGCAGGGAGTTCCTTCCCCACACGAAGCCCGAGCTGAAGATGGCCAGGACCCTGGACCTGGCCTACCAGCCCTTCTCTGGGCTAAGGCTCGGCGTAACCAGTGGTCAAGACCCACCGGGCCAGCGGTTGGTCAGGTAGCCTCCCCTAGGTCCCAGCCGGAGGACTCTAGGATAGCGGTGGACGTAAGTCCCCGCCAAGACAGGAGGCTGTACCTCCTTAGGTTAGCAAGAGACCTGTGTGTCGGTCCCGCTTAGTTCGGAAGCTGTACCTTAGGGTATCGGGTGAGGGGACCGCATACCCCTCTGTGTGTTAAGGACTGTGTAAGAGGAGAAAGACAAACAGTGCCTCATAAGTTTATTCGTCATTATACACACTACACCTGCATATATATTGCTCAATAGTTACTATTAGGTAACTTCATGTGCCGATTTACAAAACTGTTAATCAAAAAATCTTAAACTTTTTAGCGTAAAGTGCAATCTCCAACTTTCATTATACACACTGGCATTTATTAATGTGCTATGAAGAAGGAATATTGCCTGATACGTCACCTGTTACTTTGAATTTAAGGCAATGTTATTGACAACGGAGTTTATTTTGTTTACTATTTCCCGTCTTTTTGGAACGTAATCTACATCCACACTTTGCCCACCCTTGTTTAGATGCTGCCTTGGCTTTCACTGCTAGATATCAGCCACATCATCTGCAGATCTAATGGCGACCGTCTTTCCCTGCAATTGAAATGCCCCCTCTGTACGGTGTTCCAGTGCTCGTGATACCCTTAGAATACAAATTGAACGGTGCCCGTGAGGTCACACAACCCGGCCTGATGTTTAGTTTTGAATTCTCACGACCCAGTGAACGTGGAACGTTTGGTCAACATTGGTTCAACGTTTCCAACCACATGCCAAGATTGCCATGTTTACTTGGTTTCAGTACAAGTTCCTCGGCCCCAAGGTCTTTCTCATTTTACCGTCATGCTATCAATCGAATGTTTTCTCAAAATTAAAATGATAACTTGCACATTTAATACACCATTCGCAGATCACTCTCAAGGCAACATGGCTTAATTTCATACTCTTTGGTTCTATTGGGTAAAGTCACGTAGGTAAAAATAAAATATCAAAAAATCACGCTTGTTATTTTATTTTCACCTACGTGACTTTACCCAATAGAACCAAAGAGTATGGATCCTAGCAGTCACGAAAGCTTTAAATCTAGAATGGCTTAATTTGTTTCTGTTTTCATTCCGAATGATTCCCTCCTGATGAAACTTGGAATGGCAAAATAAAAAGTTGGTTGCAGCGCTGCAATTACAGTCCTTGTTCACCGTTGCCTGGGGGAAGAGCCTCCACTGTCCTAGCTTAACAGAAAGTAAATACCAAACATTTTTGGCTGTTAACTTTTGGAAGCGGGCACATTTTTCTGTTGCTCGTTATTGCGTGGAATGCAGTGCAGCGACATCGCGGAAACCTAGAGGCCACTGAGCCCTTAAGTAATTTCTCCTGTACAGCATCCACGCCGCAGCCTGTGATCCATGGGTTTAAGATGCGTCGTCGTTACCCTATCCCATAGTACAAGTGTAGTATAAATAGAGTCAAGGGATTTTGCAGGTGATATGTTGAATAATAAGATAATAAAATTAGTATTAACACGTAGCTCTTTGCAGTTATGGCAAGAACGATTTTTTTGGGTTAAACCATGATTGTCGTGAAACCTTCCAGCATCCGACATTGCAAAACTTACCGTTAAGTTTAAAAGATAATTGACTCGTTATATGCTTGTATAGACAATACATTTTAGTTGTAGATGTTGGGTGGTGGAGGGTTTCGCGACATAGACTGGCAATATCATGACGTGGCCGAACCCAAAAGTCGTGTGTCTCAGATGAACTAAATTAATTGGTGATACTGCGTTGGCAGAGTGCACGAACAGCAGATTTGAATCTAGATTTAACACACTGCTTTAGAACAAATTTCTGTGTTTAATTTGTTGTCCTTCCCTCGTACCTCCGATGGCCACGATTGGCTGCGTAAGGTGTAGAAGAAGTTCAACATACACGACAAACCCTAAACGCATTTGAGTTTGGGAGACCAAAGCTAACATCACATGGGGGGCCTGGTTAGTTGGCATCTAACATCACATGGGGGACCTGGTTAGTTGGCATCGAACATCACATGGGGGCCTGGTTAGTTGGCATCTAACATCACATGGGGGACCTGGTTAGTTGGCATCTAACATCACATGGGGAGCCTGGTTAGTTGGCATCTAACATCACATGGGGGCCTGGTTAGTTGACATCTAACATCACATGGGGGCCTGCTTAGTTGGCATCTAACATCACATGGGGGACCTGGTTAGTTGGCATCTAACATCACATGGGGAGCCTGGTTAGTTGGCATCTAACATCACATGGGGGCCTGGTTAGTTGGCATCTAACATCACATGGGGGCCTGCTTAGTTGGTATCTAACATCACATGGGGGACCTGGTTAGTTGGCATCTAACATCACATGGGGAGCCTGGTTAGTTGGCATCTAACATCACATGGGGGCCTGGTTAGTTGGCATCTAACATCACATGGGGGCCTGGTTAGTTGGCATCTAACATCACATGGGGAGCCTGGTTAGTTGGCATCTAACATCACATGGGGAGCCTGGTTAGTTGGCATCTAACATCACATGGGGGCCTGGTTAGTTGGCATCTAACATCACATGGGGGCCTGGTTAGTTGGCATCTAACATCACATCGGGAGCCTGGTTAGTTGGCATCTAACATCACATAGGGAGCCTGGTTAGTTGGTATCTAACATCACATGGGGGTCCTGGTTAGATGGCACCTAACATCATATGGGGGCCTGGTTAGTTGGTATCTAACATCACATGGGAAGCCTGGTTAGTTGGCATCTAACATCACATGGGGGTCCTGGTTAGATGGCATCTAACATCACATGGGGGCCTGGTTAGTTGGTATCTAACATCACATGGGGAGCCTGGTTAGTTGGCATCTAACATCACATGGGGGCCTGGTTATTTGGTATCTAACATCACATGGGGGGCCTGGTTAGTTGGCATCTAAAATCACATGGGGGCCTGGTTAGTTGGCATCTAACATCACATGGGGGGCCTGGTTATTTGGTATCTAACATCACATGGGGGCCTGGTTAGTTGGCATCTAACATCACATGGGGAGCCTGGTTAGTTGGCATCTAACATCACATGGGGGCCTGGTTAGTTGGCATCTAACATCACATGGGGGCCTGGTTAGTTGGCATCTAACATCACATGGGAAGCCTGGTTAGTTGGCATCTAACATCACATGGGGAGCCTGGTTAGTTGGCATCTAACATCACATGGGGGCCTGGTTAGTTGGCATCTAACATCACATGGGGGCCTGGTTAGTTGGCATCTAACATCACATGGGAAGCCTGGTTAGTTGGCATTTAACATCACATGGGGGCCTGGTTAGTTGGCATCTAACATCACATGGGGGGACTGGTTAGTTGGCATCTAACATCACATGGGGGCCTGGTTAGTTGGCATCTAACATCACATGGGGCCTGGTTAGTTGGCATCTAACATCACATGGGAAGCCTGGTTAGTTGGCATTTAACATCACATGGGGGCCTGGTTAGTTGGCATCTAACATCACATGGGGGGGCTGGTTAGTTGGTATCTAACATCACATGGGGAGCCTGGTTAGTTGGTATCTAACATCACATGGGGAGCCTGGTTAGATGGTATCTAACATCACATGGGGAGCCTGGTTGGTTGGCATCTAACATCACATGGGGGCCTGGTTAGTTGGCATCTAACATCACATGAGAAGCCTGGTTAGTTGGCATTTAACATCACATGGGGGTCCTGGTTAGTTGGCATCTAACATCACATGGGGGGGGGGGCTGGTTAATTGTCATATAATGATGACGAGATATTGAAAGGCAATTATTAAACGTGGCCGTGCCGGCAGGAGGCACTGTGGCTTGGTTCTACCCAGCTCGCTCGTGCTGCGGTCACGTGATCCGGGAATGGGGGCTGGGGAAGAGAGGAATGGGGGGGAAGAGAGGAATGGGGGGGGGAAGAGGCGGCGTTCATGACAACGCGGTTGCTAGGCGGCGCGGTGACGTCACGCCGACGCGCGGGGGCCGCCGGGAGTGCTGGTTGCGGCCATCTTGGATCGGGTTGGGGGGGGTTGCGAGAAGCGAGAGACGCGGGTTGGGGAGGAGCGGCAGAGGCGAGAGAGAGAGGAGCGCGTTGGAGAACGCAGGGAGACAAAGGCGGACGGGAGGGGGTTGTGGGGAGGGGGGGTGTAGAGAGAGAGAGCGCACGACGAACGACGTCTGTGGCGGGGGTGCCGGTGGCGCTCAGGACGCCGCACTGCTGCTTCATCAGAAGGGTGAGAAGGACGCTCGCGTTCTCGCTCGGACAATGCCCGTTACGCTCGCTGTCGTTAATGCTTCGAGGGGGAGCCGGTAGAAATTGCTACGTTGCTGGTAGGAAGACCCTCATTGCGCCGCAGAGCAAACAGCAACAACAAAGCAGGCACCGCGGTTGATTATTGGCCCGTGGCGAAGTCTGTGACCCTTGCTGGGGATGAACGCGGCGGCACAAAGGCGACTGACGGTGGCCGTGCCCTGTGACACTGTGACAGGTCCCAGTGCTGTGCCCTCCCCGCGACCGGCGCAAGATGCCAGTTCGCTATTTACAGGCTTGCGTACGGTGGCCAGTATGTGCAAGGAGCTCAATGCCCGATGTCAGGACGAGAGTGATTCAGGTGAGAGAGGAGAGAGAGTTCGTGTAGCTTTGCTATTCCTCCTCCGTTGAAGGAGCGCAGCGTGCAGTGCTTTTACTCTGTGGGCCATAGCTTGGGTCGCATGGCCACAGTCGCACTGCTGTGGCTTGTCTTTAATGTGTACGTATGTCTGGGAGCCTACGTACCTTCATGAGCATGTGTATATGGCTTTACTGTATGGTGTATATGGCTTTACTGTATGGTGTATATAGTAAGGGTTATGTGGTCACAATCAGACGGCTGTGGCTCGTCGTTAATGTATCTATATGTACGGATCTGTGCATTATGCGTCCCTCTGGGTTTACTTTGTGGTCCATAGTTTGGGGTGCACGGCCACAATCGCACTGCTGCGGTTTGTGTTTAGTTGTGCCACACATCAAGCTGCGCCGCAAGTCAGCTTGCACAGGTTTGAGCCGCAGCGGGTTTGTATTCGTTAGACATTAAGCGTAAAGGAACCCGGAGAGGATGTGTGTTGTTGTGGGCCACCGTTTTTGCAATGTTTGTGATAACGGCTGCGGTGTGGCATGAATGGTTTTTGGTTGCAGTCAAAAATGTTGATTTTCGACTTCGCCACGAGCCCGCAGGAAAGTGAAAGCCGCTTTAGTGAAACCGATTTATGAACGGGAGAAAGGCCGGTTTATGTAAGGGCTGGGTTTACGTTAAGTAAGGAAAGTTAACCAGTTTGTTGTTGCGATCGATTTCGCTAAACGTTTATTAACCGTCGTCTCCATTTACGCCAAGGAAGCCAAGTCGAGTTAGTGCGCCCGATGTATTTAAAATCCCTTTTATAATAACGGGCTTATCTAATGACATAAAGTAAACTGCTTGATTACAGTATCCGGTTTAACTATTCACGTTTTAATTGCATTAAAACGTAAACCATGTTGCTATTCTTTGGTCGTTTTTTCAAAGCTGTTGTGTTTTATGCTTTTTCGGAAAGGGCGGATGTAATTTCCATTGATTCTAGTTTGTGCAATTTACATGCGTGAAAGGTACATCTGTAAGGTTTTGACTTTAATATTTGTTCTTGTTATATACATTATTGTACTTATGTGATGTGATACATTGTATTGTTTGCTCAGCTTTGTTGATTTCATTCATGGTTGTCCGTTTTGCACCGATTTATTTTCGTCCGATACCTTGCAATCCCAGTGGTCAGTTGGCGTAAACCTGCAAAAGTTGATGCGATTGTTTCGCATAGTTTATAATTAGTCGGTGTAATTTGAGAGCTATACTTAACGTGTTTTATGCAACAGAACACGGGTCTCTAAATGCACTTTCGCGTCAATAGGCATATGTGCAAAGCATGTATACTAAAGGTTTGATTACCGATCGCGGCTAATAGCATTAGCGAATGATATCTAAACTTGACCTGGGCCTCCCCGAGGTTCTACGTGTATATGTGTTCAACTGCTTCTTTCGTTACCGTACGTAGCGAACCGTGGCTAATTGGAGGTGCGAGGGGAAGCACAGCCAGGTTGATTAAGCCATAATAGAGTTGTTTTGGGTGTTTGATAGCGTACACCTATATGTGTCATTAAACCCGACACCAAGGTTGATGAATCCCTCCTGTACTATTCGGCCAGAACCGGTGTTGCGATCACAAACGCTGGGGAGACAAAGATACTGGCCACACCCCCACCACCATCATAAGTTATCACGAATTGCACTTGCCCCAACAGTTTGTGTTTAGATTATTTGGCTGCTTTACATTTCCACATGATGAACTACGTCGCTGAGCTGTCATTTGTGGCCTAGTTGCTTCTGAAAACGAACTAACAGGTCAGTGGGCTTTACCTGGTAAAATAAAAAAAAGTTTTAATATACAGTATTTATTGTGATTTACTTACCTTTCCTATACTTTGCACTCCTATCGGTTTTTTGTATTGTTTGTTGTTGTAACTTTCTGACCCGCCCCTACAGGACATCTGTGAAGAAGAGCTGAAATGACTCATCGGGTTTCTCCAGGATAAACAAAGATTCTGTATGTGTATGTCCCTGGTCATACCTGTCCACCCATTGCCTTGATCGTGCAATGCTTGTCTGCTACAGCTTTGTCCAGATACTGTATAGGCTGGGCACAATTCAGCTGTTGGCGAATGTTTCTTGTCCAATATTTGAGGGAAATGTAAGTGACCATCACCGACATTGGGGAAATATCTCTGAGGCGATGTGCTTTGGCTTTCTCGTCACAACGTGGACCTATCCCATTGTGCTGTGTGACAGGGGCAGTGCGTAATTGAGTAAGAGGCAGGCTGGCAGCAGTCACATACATGCATAATCCCACAAACACCATTCTGTGTCAAAGAAATATAATCGTTTCTACGGCTGGGTGAATAGCAGCTGAAAAGTCTTTGACCACAAAGGCTAGTCAGGAAATAGCTTCAGTTGATGTGCAGTGAATTGCTCCAGTGGTTCACTATGTGGTCGACGCTCTGGTCGGTGTTTCCGCAATTGCACCAACTTCTTCCCCTTTCGAAGGCAGTAGGTGTATCCGCTATGAGACAGGCGGCTTCGATTTAATGTGCACCATTGCTTTCGAGGTAGATTCAATCCCGGTGGTTCTTCCGTGGGATCGGCGATCAGGTGCTTGTTTGGGATGTTCGTGTGCACCTAAATCCGTTGACATTTCACTAAAAGGGCAAACTATAATGAACATAATGCGTAGCAGTTGGTGGGCGCGTGAGATCACCGTTTAATCAGGTTTCAAACAATGAGTGGTGCGAGCCCGACATATGGACAACGATTAGAGGGCGGTTCGGACATTTGGCACGGGAGGAGACGAGAGAGCCGCAACCTCCCCACCTCGCAACGATGGGGGAGGTCGAGAGGGAAAGCGGTGCCTCGGAAAACACGTCTGCGTTGCCGTGCTGGAGCGGAATGATTTCCCATTGAAGCAGGGAGTACAGAAGCCGTCACTTTCTAAAAATGAAACTGGAGACCGGGAGGGGGGGCGAGATGGGGGGTGCTGTGCGGCGGGTTGTTGGGATGCTTTGTGCGCCTCGGTATGGCTGCAGGGAGCGTGATGACACAATGTGACACTCGCTTATTAGCGGTCGCAGCAGTGCAGCGCAGCAGCCTTAGCAAGTGTGAGTTTCTCGTCTCCGGAACGCCTCGTACTGCATTCAGGGTGTTCACTTGGCCCCAGGGTGACGCATTTCCATGAGTCTGCGACAAAACTCGCCCACAGCTCATCAGACCAAAGTCATTTTGTCGGTAAATTCCCGGACATGGCTGTCGAACTCTGGAAACTTGATAGCATTATTAGCTGTTGAACTACTAGCATATTTTCTGAATAGTTACACTTTTGAAAATCTGTATTTTAAAGCAAACATTTGCCAAATGTTTATAAATCTATTCACATGGAGCTCAACTTTGGGGTGAGCCTTACTTTTCCAGAATGTCTTATAATCAGGATAATACCAAAGCCTTTCTGGGTTCATTCCATTTGTGGGGTCTCAAAATGGTGCTTTTAACGCTGCCTCAGGGCCAACAAAAATCAATCGGCATCTGACACAGGGAAGAGACTCCGGTATTGCCGTACCCTGCTCTGGACTTTTTGTATAGTGTGTTAACCATTAAGCAAGTGAGACATTTTACAACTTAAAGCCTTGCACCATCTGTACCGACAGTGCCAAGGCTTTTGACTTTATGCTTACATTGGTTCTCCTCCAATTCCTGTTAAACACATACTATGTAAGGCACTTCGCAGTTCCTTACCATAGAGCTGTGTACAATGCAAGGTGGCTTTTTTATTTGACTTAATGAAGATTAATGATGGCCTGTATATAGACCACCAGCAAGTATATAACAAAAAATGTGGTTTAGGTTAATCGGGCCAATTCTTAATCTTCTGCAAAAATAATCACCCCATATAAATCATTAGCATGTCCAATATAAATCATTGTCATATAACGTGGCTTGTTATAGAATTTTGTTTCTCTTTCTTTTGAGTGGTGAGCAGTGGTGCAGTGATTAGCACACTGCTCCGTTAACCTGACCACCCGAGGTTGATTCCTGCCCATGGCTAACATTCGTGGCGGATGATGTCTGAACGAATTCTGGGTCTCCTTTCACCAAGTCGGTGTCACCAGCACAGTGGAGAATGGTAAAACAAGCTGGGTTGTTTTTTTTGTACATTTCCATCTGGAACACAACACCACAGCTTAGTCGTCTTCATTATCAGCCATGGTCGATCCACTGGATGAAGGCCTCCCCAAGCCGCCACCATGTCTCATGATCCAGTGATGTAACAATCCACTGAGAATCTGTACACGAGCAGATTTCATTGTTTTATCTTTTCGGTGGACCTACGCCCCTCCTAAACTAGTTCCATTCCTTGGCTGCCATTCCGTCCTTTTATTCTCGACTGTCGATCATCGTGTGTGTACATAACAGTGTAGTAGTTATTTCCTAAACATGTGCAAGCATGCTGATTCTCAGCATGGAGAGGGTGGTAATGTCTGGTGGTGCAATGATAACCAGTGTGACGTAAACACCGGTGCAGCTTCTCGGCCAGCGGATGAGATGCAAAACAAATTCTCACTTGACGCTTCTCGGAAAACATTTGAGTGAGAGTGTTGGACCCACACTGCTGTATTTCG